TGACCAAGTCTCTTATTTTGAATAAAATTTTGGCTCCTCTATAAGTTATTTGGTTAAAGGATGATTGTTTGATTGATACCTTGGAATAAAATCCGAACTCCTCAAAACATTTGAAAAAAAAAAGAGGAAAGGAAACTTTGAAAATTTAAATAAAAGAAAGGCAATTTATTTTGATAAAGGATTTTTTAAAAAAAAATTGAAGTTGAAAATTGATCACGTACTTTTGAATATAAATTTGGGTACATTTCGGGAACCAATAAATAATGGAAAGAAAATTGTTTAGATTGATCACTCTTGTAGGAATCATTAAGGCTCCGTTTGGTTTGACTTTCTAACTATGATTTGAGAATATGAGTTGTATTTTTAGTTTGTATGTTTTGAAATTATTATTTGAGCGTAAAAAATTTGTTTGGTTATAATTTTTAAATAGAGTGTTGAATTAAGTTTTGAATTGAGTGTGAAATTGAGTTTTGAAAGTTTGATTTGACATGTGAAGTAAGAAAATTTGTTTGATTATGAGTTTTGGAAAGAGTTTTCAGAACTTAATTCAAATTGTTATAACTTATAACAAATACACTACTTTCACACTATTGAAAATTCGGATCAACACTCATAACCAAACTTTTTTTTAAATTCAATTAAAAAAATTTATTATTAACAGAAAATAACATTAATCAATTTTTTAATTGAAAATACTACAAAGGAAATAGTTTTTTTTTTCAAAATAAATATTCAAAAATTTTAAATCATAAATATTTAAATAATTTAAATAATCTAAAAAATTTAATAAGTAAAAAATTAAAATAAATATTCAAAAAATATTCTAAAAATTTAAATAATTTAAAATTTTAATATTTTAAATTTAAAAATAACTCTACACTCAAATCGTAACCAAACACATAAAACAAAACTCAATTAAGAAATTATTTTTAAAACTCATAACCAAACACATAATTCGAAACTACAGACCACTTTCACAACTCTACACTCAAATCGTAACCAAATACATAACAAAAAAATTAAAATATTTAAAAATATTTTTATAAAATAGAGTTTGAATTTATTTTTATAAAATATTTTAAAATTTAAAAAATTAAATTCATAATTTTTAAAAATTAAAATATTTAAAAAAAATCAAAAAAATTAAAAAAATTAAAAAAATCATAACATATTTAAATATTAAAATATTTAAAATCTTAACAAAATTAAAATATTAATTTGAATTGATTTTGAAAAGAGTTTTGAATTATGTGTTTGGTTATGAGTTTTGAAAAGTAATGATTATGTTTTGAATTGAGTTTTGAGAAATGGGTGTAGAATTATGATTTGAAAACTTAAAAACAAATACCACACTCAAATCAATAGATAGAATATAATTTGAGAGGCTTATCAAACAGCGCCTAAAATTTCTCAAAATTGCCTTGGTTGGGCAAATATCACCAAATGGATGATGATGATGACTTCGAGATCCGATGGTAAGTGTTAAACAAAATTGACTGGGTCCATTTGCCTATCCTCCGGTTTGTTGCATAATATCCCGGACACTATTTGTGGGTTATGTTATGTCAATAAGGCAAGCATCAGATTATGGTACTAGTAATTTTTGATCATCCCCTTGTGGAAGGGATGGTATATTGATAGTAATAATTGATGTACCTTTTTGTGACCAAACTTACCTTTTGCATATAGAGAGCGTTGGCACCTTCCAAACTATGGCAGGATACCCTCTTTTCTAAGATTGTATTATTGCCTCTTTGAATGATTTGGTGAATCGTATATCTCATTTCTAAATTATGACGGGGCAACCCTACCCCCCAATAGGCATGAATGCAAATTATATGCTTATGTGATATTTTGAAACTGATTTGATTTGATTCCAGAGATTAACAATGAAAATGACAGTGATTTCATTCCCAGAATCTGGGGAGTCTGATATGGCAGTGATTTGATTCTGTTGCAATTCGAATTATTTGGGGCAATGGTCCAATTACAAATATTTGGGGATTCAATTTAGACAGTGATTCATATTTTGATAATGAGTAATCAGTAATAGATTAGTGGGGTTGTTTCCCAATTTTAAAGATTTGAGTTTGAATTTGGATTCTTACCTTAGTGATCAAAAAAAAAAAAAAAAAGAGTTTTTGCCTTTTTATAAATCCCTAATAAAACATGTGATTAAAGAATAACTTCTAAAAAAAAGAAGCTTTCCAACTTAAGTAAAGCCTTGGAGGTTATGGAAGGTGTTTGATTGAATAAGAATCTTTATGTCATTGACTTTTGGGGGAATTTCAACTTTTATGCAAAATGGTAGATACGGAAAGGGTGACCAAATCTTTAATTTTAAATAAAATTCCAAATCTCCCAAATGATAATTGACTAAGGAAACAATTGTTTGATTAGATGCTTGGAATAAAATCCAAATCTCCCTGGGAGGAAATAATTTTGAAAGAAAACCCGAGTAGAATTTTAGAAATTATGAAAAGTTTTTTATCAGACAAAAATTTTTAGGTTTTTGACTTTGTAGAGAATTTTATTTTATGGAAAGGTGTTAGATGAGAAGGAAATGGCCGAGTTTTTCATTTTGAAATGAAATTTTGAATTTCCTTTGAAGACATTTGACTATAAGGTAACTGTTTGATTGATTTCCTCGAATAAGATCTTAAATTCCTTGGAAATTTTTTGAAAATAAAATTTGAGTAGAGTTCAGAAATTATGGAAAGTTCTTTTCATCGAGTGAAAATCCTTCGGCCACTAACTTTGAGGGAACCTTAATTTTGTGGAGAAATGTTAGCCAAGGAAGTAATGACCAAGTCTCTCATTTTGAATAAAATTTTGGCTCCTCTATAAGTTATTTGGCTATAGGATGAATGTTTGACTGATTCCTTGGAATAAAATCCGAACTCCTCAAAACATTTGAAAAAAAAGAGGAAAGGAAAACTTTGAAAATTTAAATAAAAAAAAGGCACTTTATTTTGAAAAAAAATTGAAGTTGAAATTTGATCACGAACTTTTGAAAATAAATTGGTGCACATTTCGGGAAACAATAGATAATGGAAAGACAATTGTTTAGAATGATCACTCTAGAAGAAATCATTAAAATTCCTCAAATTTGCCTTGGTTGGGCAACTATCGCCAAATGGGTGATGATGATGACTTCGAGATCCGATGGTAAGTTTTAAACAAAATTGACTGGGTCCATCGCCTATCCTCAGGTTTGTTGCATAATATCCCGGACACTATTCGTGGGTTATGTTATGTCAACATGGCAAGCATCAGATTACGGTACTAGTACTGTTTGATCATCCCCTTGTGGAAGGAGTGGTATATTGATTGTAATAACTGATATACCTTTTTGTGACCAAACTTACCTTTTGGATATAGCGAGCATTGGCACCTTCGAAATTAGGGCAGGATACCCTCCTTTCTAGGATTGTATTATTGCCTCTTTGAATGATTTGGTGAATCGTAGATCTCATTTCTAAATTAGGACAGGGCAACCCTACCCCCCAATAGGCATGAATCCAAATTATGTGCGTATGTGATATTTTGAAATTGATTTGATTTGATTTCAGAGATCAAAAATTAGAAAGACAGTGATTTCATTCCCCAAATCTGGGAAGTCTGATATGGTAGTGATTTGATTCTGTTGCAATTCGAGTTATTTGGGGCAATGGTCCAATTACAAATGTTTGGGGGTTCAATTTAGGCTGTGATTCATATTTTGATAATGAGTAATCAGTAGTAAATTAGTGGGGTTGTTTCCCAATTTTAAAGAATTTGAGTTTGAATTTGGGTTCTTACCTTAGTGATCAAAAAAAAAAAAAAAAAAAATTTGCATTTTTAGAATTTAAATCCCCAATAAAACATGTGATTAAAGAATAACTTCTAAAAAAAGGAGACTTTCCAACTTAAGTAGAGCCTTGGAGGTTATGGAAGGTATTTGATTGAATAAGAATCTTTATGTCATTGACTTTAGGTGGAATATCAACTTTTATGCAAAATGATAGATAAGAAAGTGGTGACCAAATCTTTAATTTTGAATAAAATTCCAAATCCCCCAAATGATAATTGACTAAGGAGACAATTATTTGATTAGATACTTGGAATAAAACCCAAAGCTCCTTGGGAGGAAAGAATTTTGAAAGAAAACCCGAGTAGAATTTTAGAAATTATGAAAAGTATTTGATCAGACAGAAATCTTTAGGTTTTTGACTTTAGAGGGAATTTTATTTTATGGAAAGGTGTTAGATGAGGACGTAATGACCGATTCTTTCACTTTGAATTGAAATTTTAAATTTCCTTTGAAGACATTTGACTATGAGGTAACTGTTTGATTGATTTCTTCGAATAAGATCTTAAATTCCTTGAAAATTTTTTGAAAATAAAATTTGAGTAGAGTTCGAAAATTATGGAAAGTTCTTTTCATCAAGTAAAAATCTTTGGGCCACTGACTTTAGCAACACAAACATCCGATTTTTTGTCATCTCGGTTTGTATAATGAGCCCTTTCTCTGGATGATAAATTTTGAGCTTTCCATGTTAAATGAGAATCGTCAACCCTCATTCTTGTAGTTGACCAATGCTCAAAAGATTGTTCTTTAGTTCAAGCACAAAAAATACTTCACTAACAACATGTGTAAAGCCACTTACTGTCAATCCCACGTTGCCTTTTCCTCACATAGCCATCCTTGTGTTATTTCCCAACTTTACCCTCTACCTAAGGTCCTCATTTAGATCACAGAACAGGCTCTTGTTGCCACACATGTGGTTGCTACATCCAGAATCTACGAACCAGACATCTTCCCTTCAAGCACTAGTCATCTCCATATATGACATGAGCAATATCTCATCGTCTTCTCCTAATTCAACGTAGTTGGCTTCCTTATCCCAACTTGGACACTCAGATTGAAAGTGTCCAAGCTTGTGACACTTATAGCATTCCACTGTTGCTTTGTTGTAGGACTAGCGGCCTCTCCTTCTTCCTCTGCCTCTGTATGAACCTCAACCCCGTTCTCTTGCACCAAATCTGTCTTCAGAGGTTATCTTGAGTGCTTGTTCTTCTCCTGTATGTCGTTGGAATTTTTGCTCATGATCAATTTGAGAACTCTGCAGTTCATCAATGGAGAGTTGATCGATGTCTTTAGACTCTTCGATCGAACAAACAACATAATTAAACTTCTCACTCAATGATCTAGGAATCTTCTCCACCACTATGACGTCTTGCATCTGCTCTCTATGTGTTCTCATCTTGTTAGCCATTGACAACACTCTTGAAAAATACTCAGAGACTCCTTCTCCAGCCTTCATCTCTAGGGTTTCAAACTCTCTGCGAAGAGCTTGTAGATATGACCTCTTAACCCTAACACTCCTTTCAAACTTCTTCTTCATAGACTCCCAATTTTTTTTAGAAGTATCCTTCACGAGAATGGTCTGCAATATCGTCTGATCTATGACCTGAAAGAGATAATTTTTGACTTTCAGATCCTTCAGCTTCAATTCATCTAGCCCCTTTTACTGTGCTTTTGTCTGTGCCACTCCACTCTCTGGCTCAACATGGCCAGTCTTTACCAGCCCCCAATATTCTTTGGATCGTAGCAAATTCTCCATCAACATGCTCCAATGGTTATAGTGACCATCAAAGCGAGGGATGGCTGGCTGCACAAAATTCCCTTCGGTTGTCATCTTCTTTGCTGCTGCAAAAACCTCAAAGGCTACTGCTTTGATTTTGTCAGGCCCAGTGGGGGCTCTGATACCAGAATGTTAAGAATCAAAACACAAAATGAAAAAGTACACAACAATTCTGCGAATTACTTACTTCTTATTGAACAATCTAGGCTTATAAATAGCCTTCTACAATCTTAACAGAATGAGAAAAACTAGCTCACATTTACAACTAATCAACATGATAAGTGCAACTAAGAAAAGTCAAGAAACACTAAACATGTATCCTAAAGACTAGGGCTTATTCAAACCGAATGCATCAACTTATCTGAATCCCTAACAAAAACCTAAACTTTCTCTTCAATAATCACAACATCATCTACTCCTTTTGTGAGATCAAATTCGAAATTGAGAAAAAATTTTGTTTACACAAGGTAATACACCATCTCATTAGTTGAATCAATGAGAAAATCGCACTAAAAGTACAAAATGAACCAATAAAATGATATGTATTATTCATATGTGTGTGAATAAATTTGCACCCTTCTAAACTTGAACAAAACTGAAATACTAAGAACATGAGAATTGGGAAGTGGAAACATGTACTAGAGGAGTGCATAAATTGAAAATGCTTTTATATAATGAAAAAAAATCTAGTTACGCAGAATTAAATCACAAAATACTACACACCCTTTCTCTTTAGCATAACTTCAATTTATTTCTGTTCAACTAACAACGTTGTCATCCAATCCTCTTCAAATGCCCAACTTGCTTTGCACCTCCAAAATGGTCTTAGCCGAGTCCCTAAGTTTTTGCGCCTCCTCATCGGTAAGATGCACATTAGCCACACCCAATACCCCGCTCCGGCCAAGCTGTGCCGGCAAGCTCAAAAACACGTCACCACCGATGTCGTAGAACCCTTTTGCAAGGACCGAGACAGGGTGGATACTCCTCTGGCCTCTAAGTATGGCTCGAGCAAGGCTAGCCACAGAGTACCCAATTGCCCATGATGTGTAACCTTTGAGACTTATGACCTCGTATGCACTTTCCACAACTTGTTTGTGAATTTTCTCTAAGGTTTCTTTCTCATATACGATTTGCTGTCTCTCCAGGAAGCTCAAGACTGGGACTCCCCCAACACTAATGCTTGACCATAGCGCCACCGAGCTGTCACCGTGCTCCCCAACAATGTATGCCTAGTCATGCATGTAGCCATCACAAATTAGAATAATCTAGTATGCCATGAAGATTTAATTAACAAAAAAATATACAAACCCAAAAAATTTGCCACTTGGAGATTGAACTTGATGCAATGTGAGCTATATTAACTATGACTCTAATCCATACAATTCAAATTCTGATTAAATTTTTTAGTAAATTTTAAGAGTTCGTAACATTGTTGTTTAATTAATTAGAATTAGAATGTTATACGCACACACAATGGTATGTAGAAATTAAAGATTATTGTAACTGTCATCACAAAGATAATTTAAAAAGAAAAAAGAAAAGAAAAGAAAGAGTAGAAGAAGAAGAAGAAGAAGTAAATCAAGGAGGAAAAACTAAAACTGAAAATTAAATTTTGAAAATAAAAAATTTGAACAGTTATACAAGAGTAATTTGGAAATGAAAAATGTGTCACATAGTTGTTTTGCTAAGAAAATTGTTTACTTTATACAATAGAATAATTTTTTGTTGTCCATGAAACATAAGCACACTTGGTTTTCATCTCAAATATTAACGGATAAATTAAAAAATTATGAAAATAAAAAATGTACAATTAAATTAATAAATAAATGTGCAACTATGATGACCAAAATAAAATGTCACTAATAATGTCATATATCCTAAAATTTATATTGAATCTATCTTAAAATTGCCTTTTTGTTGTTGCAAACAATGTTTGACTTATTAAAAAATAAAATAATTAAGTTTCGATCTCTCAATGAAAATATTATTTTCTTAGAATGTTGAATGGTATTTAAAATGTACTTACTTTCATTTTTACAGAATCTAACATAAAATTCAATATTAGTATTTCATCTTGTATTAATTTTATTTTTATAAAAAATCCCTAAACAAAAAACATAGCTCTCCTTGCCGAGAAGTGATTAAGGATTTGTTTGGGAAGCAGGTTGAGACTATTTTAGTCACAAAAAGATAAAATAAATTTTTTTATCTAATAAGACAAAACATCACATCCAATCTATAATCATTACATTATTTCTCTCACAAAAAGTCAAAAAAATCAAAAAATTAAAAAGCCCTTCCACTTTTACCCCAAACTAAATAGTCAAAAAGTGAACCTATTTCTTTAACGAACCCTAAGAGTCCGTTTAAAAATTAATTTTTTTATATTAAAAAAAGTGTCAAATATTAAAGAAAATAAATTGAGTATTGATTTTATTTTATTTTTTATCTATTTTAACTCATTGCCGGACCTAATAGCCAAACCAGTAATGAAAAAGTTACCTGAACATCCTGAGCGTTAACGTCAAGATGATCCGCAATCAAAAACCGAAACCTAGAAGAATCCAAATTAGTCCCCGACCCAATAACCCGATTCGAAGGAAACCCAGAGAGCTTCCACGCAATATACGTCAACACATCCACCGGGTTCGACACGATCATCAAAATCGTCTCCGGCGAGTACTTCACAATCTGCGGCACAATCTTCTCATACAGAGCCACGTTCCTCTGCAACAGGTTCAACCTAGACTCACCCGGGTTCTGTCTCGCTCCGGCAGTGACAATGCAAAGGTCCGACCCGGAAGTGACGGAGTAGTCGACGGAGGCAAGGATGGTGGTGCGGGGGAGAAAGGCGGCGGCGTGCTGGAGGTCCAGCATCTCGCCACGTGGCTTGTCGGGATTGGCGTCGACGAGAGCGAGCTCGTCGGCTAGGCCTTGGGTTAGGACGGTTTGGGTTATGGCCATGCCTACGTTGCCGGCGCCGATGACGGAGATTTTGGTGTGGCGTTTGGTGGGGGATGGTGGAGATGTTTTTTGGATTGGTTTGAAGAAGGATTGGGCTATGTCTAGGCCTCCTGGACCGAATGATGAAGATGAAGCACTCTTCTGCATTGTGGTTCTGTTGTTAGAAATTGGAATTTGCAAGTGTTTTTCTCTCACTGAAAGTTGGAGAGAGAGAGAGGGGGTTCTGCAAATTTTATAGGCACGGTGCTGGGAAGGAATCAGAACGTCATTAATGAGTTTTTTTCACCATATATATAAATATATTCAATATAATATATAAATTATATATATGTATAAAATAAATATTCAAATATTATAAAAGTAATTTCTTTTTGAAAAATCAAGACTGTGTTTGGTTGTATTTTTAAAAGTTAATTCCACGTTCAATTTTGAAAACTCTGTCTAAAGTGAAAAAATTTGACTTAACCGGTCGTCCACCGATTGACCAGAACAGTATAATTTTATTTTTATTTTTTTGCAATTTACACATGTTAATTTTTATATATTCAAAAAAAATATTTTTCGAATTTTTAAAATTTTTTGTAAGCTTTAATAGAATTTTGAGTTGTGTGTTTGATTATAAGTCGTAAGTTTTTGTATCAAATATCATTATGTCACATCAAAAACTTCTCACCCAATGCAAAACTATTTTCAAAACTCATTCACCAAGCAAATTTTTCATACTCAAATCATAATTTTAAAACTCACAAATTCAAAATATAACTCCTATTTTCAAATCATATTTAGAAAACTCTACCGAACACTACACAAATTTTTTTAGTTAAAAAAAAGAATGAAGGTAAGATGGTAGAAAATAAGACATATCTTTTAGGAAAATTTACTCAGAAATTTTATATGGGAGAATGTTGATTCATTTAGTCTTAAAAGTTTTCCTATGAACTAATTTATCTCTTTTTGTTTTGAAAAATTATATTTATTTGATTTGGTACCTTTTGAATTTAAGTGAATGTCCTTTTGTGATTCGTTTTTGAAATGTAAAAGGAAATGTAAGGTGTGAAATATTCTTTTTGAGAAGATTGATGGCTGAAGTGTTAGTTGTCGAACGTTGAAATCTTATATTTCTACTAGTGTGGTTTTCTAGTGTTACATTGGAGTGTTATATTACAGTGTTATGTTTGGAAAAAAAAATATACTAAAGAGTTTTTGTATGCTACATTGATTGGAGTGTTACTTTGAAAAAAATACACTAAGAATTTTTTTTAATAAATGTTACGTTATTACGTTTGAGAAAAGTACACTAAAGAGTTTATTAGTATATTAGATTAAAGTGTTACATTTAGAAAAAATATATAAAAGAGTTTTTTTGGAATATTACGTCATTATATTTGAGAAAAGTAAACTAAGAAATTTTTTAGTAGGTTACATTGAAGTGTTATGTTTGGAAAAAAATATATTACAGAGTTTTTGTGTGTTACATTGATTGGAATGTTACATTTGAGTAGGGCTGGGCATAGAGTTATCCGAACTGCCCAACCCGTCCAACTCAAACCGATCTGCATACAAATGGGCAGTTTCGCAGACACAATGCAGGCGAATACAGTTTGGAATATGATATGATTGCGGGTTATGGCGGGTTGTAGGTTTAACCGGCACCAGCAAGAACCTGCCCGCACTTAGATTTTTTTTTATTTTAACCTGGACTATTATTATTTTATTATTGCATTTTGGATGAATGTAAAAGTTAATGAATAATTACTTTTAGGTAAGCTTAGGATTTTGAATGATTTTACTTTAATTGTATTGTTGGGTAGTAGATAGTGAATGAGATTAATGATCTAGTTTAGGATTTTGAAAAATGTGTATGTATTAGTTTATGATTTGATTTAAAAATTTAAGATTTTGAATGATTTATTTGTGTTAGAAATTGATTTTGCTGTGTTTTTAATTTTATAAGTTTTAATTCATTAATGTTGGAGCATTTTAGAAAATGAGGGGAAAAGGGTCCATAATAAATATTTACAAAATGGGGAAAAAAAATAGAGGCTCCAAAATAAATTTTTAAAGAAAAAAATCCAATCCGCAAACCGTTCGTATTTCCGCAAACCCTATCCATACAAACCGCAACCTACACTACGGTCAATTGCGGGTTGAATTTTTCCCAAATCGTATACATACGAGCGGGTCCAAATTGATCTGCAAACCGTCTAAAACCGAACTGCGACCACCCTTATATTTGAGAAAAGTACATTTTATAATGTATTATATTAGAGTATTACATTTTCTGAGTATTACATTGAAATGTTATATTTAAGAAAAGTACACTGAAGAGTTTTTTTTGAAATATTACGTTTAGTGATTTTAATATTATGAAAAAATTTATATTTGTCACTCAACACATAACACACATGCATTTATGCTTGGCTTTTTATGTAATTCACATTATAATGGGACCTTTAAGTCCATATGAAAAAAATAAATAAATAAATAAGACCTATCCATCCATAAAATCACCATTTAGGATTTATTGATATTTTACCCTATTTTTATACTGATATATTATTTTATTAATTAAGGTATATATTTTAAAAATAATATGACAAACAAATTTTGTACAAAAACGAAAAAGTCAGGACTCCCATAGTTTTTCTCCTAATTTCAAATTTCATCCCTGGCGGTGGAGACGAAATTGGAAGGGGGGAGTCTGGTTAGTTATTTCAACGGTCAACGTTTTTGTAAGGACTTGGACAAGGAGAAGTGATAAGGTGTTACGCACCTGTACTCAGCAATGTTACGAATTCTTAAAATATTATAAAAAAAATTTACATAATATTGTTCGATTTGTAAAATTAATAGTGAAGGCATTAATAATTCATAAGATTAATATAAGATTGGTTATCCAACTAGGTTAGTGAAACATATAATTCATTTGGAAATATATAATTCCAATTACATATATGTTTTGCTTTATTAATTGTAAAATTAAAAAAATTATCAATTTTGTTGAATAGATTGGTTATTGAAATCTAATTTGAATAATAAAATTTACAATCAAACAATGAAACATGAATTCTATAAATGAATAATCTCAATCTTACAAATTATAGTCCACACAATCAAACAAGTCTTAGAATGTAGGGGAAATTTCGATATAATGGGATAGACCAAAAAAATATAAAAAACATGTTAGGTGCAAAGGATTCTGTGATGTTGTGGGGTGCAAGCATGACTTGCACCCTTTCATATGTGTGTAAAAAAAAAAAAAAAATTGCCCCACTAAAATGTAATTCTTCCTATAATATAAAATGTACACCACCACTATATGAGACTCGCTCAAGTGATTGTTATGTGCAATTTTTATTAAAATTTTTGAAGTAACATTTGTTTTAATGATGAGCATATTGTCTTACCAATCGAGAATCAAGATGATTGTTTTAAAAGAAGGCATGCAAGTTGGTCCGGTTACTTTTGAGATAAAATCATTAATTAAAGCATTATTGATTAATTGGGGGAAAAAAAATAACCTGAATCTACCTATGATTAAAATCAAATGCGTTGGTTGAATGATATTAATCAAAATCATATTTCACAAATCAATGTAGTGTTTTGAGTAGTTGGTAAAAAATTGACTTTTTGATTTTTTTTGCGACAATAGAGAGGTTATATAATCTAAAAAAATTAAAAAGTCAAAAAATTAATTTTTTACTATGTTGCCAAAGTACCCCAATATATAAAACAATTAAAATAGGGAGAAATTATATGATAAAAGTGATTCGTGAATGTTATCTAATTAATGACATAATGAATGATGATTGACAAGAGAATATGATCCCATGATATTTTAGAATTATCGTATAATTCTCCTAAATTTAGTTGTAACAAGTGAAAGTTCAGTGAATTTATAAACAAGTTGGCAAATTTAAAGTAATAAGTTAATTAATTTTTTAATATTTATAATCCTCTCACTTTTTCATACTGTACGAAATTATTTGACGCGGTAGAGTTAACGAGTTAGAGGAGCATTCGATTTTTATGTTCCGCTCGCACTAAATCAGATCCCTTTTAGGGTTCTAGAGTGTGAGCCTTGTAGGTGGCAACGTGTTGTTGGGGAACATTCCTCGCCGTCTTTGACAAGAATCCTCGATATTTTCCGCTTTCTTTTTTTTTCTTTGTTTTTTTTTTTTAAAACACCGATATTTTCCGTTTTCTTACTCGGCAATATATGCAGTCTGTCAACTATTGACCCTGTTTGGTAGAGTTGTGAGAAAGTACTTATACCTTATACTTAAACAGCTTATAACTTATAACTATGAACATAAGCTGATTTCTGACTTATAAATTAAGCATCTCCTGCCCCACTCAAGAAATAAGCTGATTTCTGACTTCCAAAAAATTATAAGTTATAAGCTAAACTAAACACATCAAAATAACTTAAATTAAGCTGAAAGCTGAAATAAGCAGCTTTTAAACTGCACCAAACAAGGCCATTGTTGAGATCGGATTGAACAATGTTATTGATGGTTTTTTTTTTTAAATTGATCAAAAGTTGATTTTTTTTTTTTATAAAAATATATAAAAAAATAGAAATATAATGTGATTCAAAATATATTAAAAATCTTTCACTTTTTCTCAAGTTATCAAATTGGCCCAAAATTGTGATGGGTCTAATTTTGAGCATATTTTAATGAGATAAATCTTTTAGGGGCACTTTTTCATAAATATTTTTTCATCTATTTATATTTTATTTGGTTCACATTAATTTTTTATATTTCAATAAGTCCTACAGGTGACATAGGTACCAAAATACCCTTAATAATATTTACATTTACAGTATGAATGTTCACACCATCAATGTGAATGTTCATATCGTCAATATAAATGTTCACACCATCAATATGAATGTTAACATATCAATATAAATATTCGCATTGTCAATGTGAGCATTCAAACGTCAATGTGAATATTTACATTGTAAAATATGAATGTTTACATTACCAAATTACTAACAGTTCAAAAAATATTTATACAGGTAGAAATGTTCATAAAATATCTTAAATATGAGAATTAGATTTTGATAGATCAAATGTCTAAATAATAGAATTTATTAAAATATAAGAATATCTTATGAACTAATTAAAAGACAAATGCTTTGAAAAGAATTTTCTAATAAATTTTCTAATTTTTTAATATGTATAACTCGTCGAGTATATTATTAGGTAAATTACACTTTACCCTCTAAAGTTTCACCCAT